TAGCTTGCATTTCTGGAAGTTCCCTGTCAATATACTGCTGCAACCATTTTTAAATTATCTGCAGCAAAATTATTACTTGCATGTGACATTAATGATACTGTTCAATAATTTCCATATTCTGTGGGATAACCTTTCTTTGAAATGGATACAAATATGGATCTCTTCCAGTCAGTTGGCCAGGTAGCTATCTCGCAAATTCCTTGGCATATATGAGTAAGCATCTCCAGCATGGCACTTGTTTGTTGAAACTTCTCAATAGGAATTCTATTAATTCCTGAAGCCTTGTTTTTTGCTAATTACTTGGTGCAGCTTTGACTTTTTCCTTCAATGCCATTGGTTTTTTGCTCATATGCCACTTCCTGAAATGTGTGAACATCGACCAACTCTTTTTGGTACAGTGACTCTGTGTATTCCTTCCATTTCCTTTTGATGCTTCCTGCATCATTCAGTATTTGCCAATTGAGTCATTCAATATTACAACTCGAGGCTTGAACTTTTTCTTCAGTTCTTTCAGCATGAGAAATGCCGAGCGTGTTCTTCCCTTTCAGTTTTCTAATTCCAGGTCTTTGTACATTTCATTATAATAATTGACTTTGTCTTCTCAATCTGCTCTTTGAAATCTTCTGTTCAGCTCTTTTATCTTGTCGTTTCTACCATTTGCTTTAGCTATTCTCCATTCAAGAGTCTCTTCTGACAGTATGGCTCTCATGGACTTGTTTTAATTGTCTTGTGCTTCAGCATGAACTTGCATATGAGCAACTGACAGTCTGTTCCACAATTAGCTGCTGGCCTTGTTTTGGCTGGAAGTATTGAGCTTCTCCATCGCCTCTCAGCACAGATATAGTCGATCTGATTCCTGTATATTCCATCTGCTGTGGTCCACATGTATAGCTGCCATTTGTGTTGTTGAAAAAAAGGTATTTGCAATGAATAAGTCATTAGTCTTGCAAAATTCTATTATGTGATCTCCAACATCATTTCTATCACCAAGGCCATATATTTTAACTACCGTTATTCTTCTTTGTTTCCAACTTTTGTATTCCACTCACCAGTGATAATCAACACATCTTGATTGCATATTCAGTCAATTTCAGACTGAAGAAGTTAGTAAAAATCTTCACTTTCCTCATCTTTGGCTTTGGTGATTGGTGTGTAAATTTGAATAATGGTAGTATTAACTGGTCTTCCTTGTTCTTGTTGTTGTTATGTGCCATCGAGTCAGACCCAACTCATAGCGACTCCTCCTTGGGTTTCCAAGGCAGTATCGCTACGGAAGTAGATTGCCCCATCTTCCTTCTGAGGAACCAGCCATCTGATTAGCAGTCAAGTGCCTTAGGCACTATGCTACCAGGGCTCCCGGTCTTCCTTGTAGCCATATGGATTTTACCCTATCACTGACAGCACTGTACTTTAGGAAAGATCTTGAAATAGTCTTTGTGACGATGAATGCCATACACCATTCATCTTCAATTTGTCATTCCTGGCATAGTAGATCATATGGTTGTCTGATTCAAAATGGCCAAAACCAGTCCATTTCAGCTTACTAATGCCTAGGATAACAATCTTTTTGTGTTCTGTTGTCATTTTTGACAATTTCCAGTTTTCCTATATTCATATTTCATACATTCCATGTTCCAATTATTATTGGATGTTTGCAGGTGCTTCTACTCATTTTTAGTTGGGCCACATCAGCAAATGGAGGTCCCAAAAGCTTTACTCCATCCACATGACTAAGGTGAGGAGGCAGCTCTTCCCCAGTCATATTCTGAGTGCCTTCCAACCTGAGGGGCTCATCTTCTGGCATTATACTGGACAATGTCCCGGGGCTATTCATAAAGCTTTCCAGTACTATATCAGACAGTGCTTTACAACTATTCATAAGGTTTTCACTGGCCAATTCTTTGAGAAGTGGATGGCCCTGCCCTTCTCTCAAGTTTGTCCTAGTCTTGAAGCTCCACTGAAATCCATCCACCATGGGTGACCCTGTTGGTATTTGAAATATTAGTGGCATAGCCTCTAGCCTCACAGTAACACACAAGCCACCAAAGTATAAAAAACTGACAGACAAGTGGTGGGACACTTACAGATAGGATGTACAAAAATGCAAAGCACAAATATTTAACAACTAGTAAAATTCATCTCCAAAAAACTACTATCACAAAAAGAATTTTTTTCTGTACAAGAAAATTTGTTTATATGCCAGAAAGAAAAGAAAAGAATCACAAAGCAAAGTAACAATGAGATTATTTTTTTCTTTTCCCCTTCTGCCTTTTGTTTGATCTGGAATAGACTACAGGAAGATAAATTGTAGATAAAATTCTCTCAAAGAAGAGGTGGAAGCAGCCTGACAAAATGTTTCCTGAAAATCAACTAATTTCCCTATCAAGTTCAAAGGAACTGTCCTTTCCAAAAATTTCAATCTGAAGTTGCATTTATATTCTCCTACAATTACTCAAAGACAGACTCAATTATTTTAGCATTCCAAATGTCTTAGCTGTTAACAACTTTTCTTTAATTTCTGATCACCTCATTTTGTAAAATCAGGTATTTCTTTTAAGATAGATTCTTGGTAATAACTATGAGATAATAATTATGAAATTGTAAAGAAACAACTTCTTATGCAACCCCAATTGAAATTTCGTTCACCAGAGAACTCAAAATGTACAATTTAACAACTAGAAATAGAAGATTTAGTATAAATAAAAAATATAGGACATGTTTAAGGAAATTTTTGTCAATTTCTAGTTTTTATTTATGATACAACTGTTGTCTCTTCTCCAATGCAAAAGAGAAAAAAAAGGAATCAATACTCAGAGAAGAAACTAGTCTACAGGACTAAAAGTCTACCTGAACTTCAGCCTCATTTACCCTAAGACCAGAAGCGCTAGATGGTCTCCAAAAACCAAAAAACCAAACTCACTGCCACTGAGTCAATTCCAACTCATAGCGACCCCCACTGGGTTTCCAAGGCAGCAGATCTTTACAGAAGTAGATTGCCCAGTCTTCCTTCCACAGAGTGGCTGGTGGGTTTGAACCACCAACCTTCTGGTTAGCAGCCAAATGCCATAGACACTGTGCCACCAGAGCTCCTTAGATGATCTCAAGCTACCCTTAATGACTATTCTGATCAGGGCCACAAAAAGGGAACCTGATATGAGGGGAGAAAAGAGTGGTCCAGAACTAAAATTTCCAAAAGTCCCCTTACTGGACCAGTCGACACTAGAAGACTCCCTGTGACTATAACCCTGACATACTCCATAAACCTTGAATTAAAACAACCATTTAACTAAATAACAGATTGGCTCATGTAATAGAGAATATTACTGGTGACTACTATGCACCTTTGAAAAATCATCTCTATGAGATCAAGCAGTCAACAGTTACTCTAAAGGAAAAAGGAAAGGGTAAAGGGACAAGGAAACCAGATGACCAGAAAGGATATAGGAGCTCTGGTAGCATAGTGGCTAAAGCACTTGACTGCTAACCAGAAGGCTGGCAGTTCAAACCCACCAGCCACTCCTCGGAAGGAAGGTTGGGCAATCCTACTTCCGTAGTGATACTGCCTCAGAAACGCAAGGCGAGGTAGCTATGAGTTGGGGCCGACTCAAGGGCACATAACAACAACAACAACAACAGAAAGGATATATCCAGAATGGAATTAATGAGAGTATTGACACATTGTGAAAACTGTAACCAATGTCATGGAAAAATTGGTATAGTGATTAATAAAAGGGAACCTAATTTGCTGTGTAAACTTTCACTAAAAATATTAATAAAGCAGATCTTAAATATTTGAGAAACTCAACTAAGGGCAAGAGTGTTAGAAAACTTTTACTCCTGCCTTACCACACACACAAAAAAAAGATACACTCTTTCAGAAACCATTAAGTGTCAATAGCTACTGAAACAAACAACACAGTAATCGAACTTACAAAAATCATTTAAAAATCTGAAATGTGCAAAATTTATATCTACGTAAAACTTTTATCAGCTCAACTTTCATAATAACACAAATTGGCAGCAATCTCATTGGAAAACAGCTGAGCAAGAATGAGTAAATGATGATACCACCATCCAGGAAAGTTGTGGAAAAGATAGAAAAATTGTTAGGATAAAATAAAAGTCACATGAAAAAGCAGATTATCAAATATAAACTTTGAAAGCCAATAAATATGTACATATGTGCCACAAATTAAACTAAAGATAAAAAGCAATGCCCAAAATAATAACACTTGGATTTGTTTCACAGGTATATTTTGTTCTTTTTCTCTTTTTCTCTATGAAAAGAGAAATGTTTCATAATGTGATAATTTAACTTATTGCTAAAATATTTATTTTTATAAAAAACAATTTTAAGTACTACAGCTTCAAATATAGCAATAGCCTCACATAATACTTCCTGACTAAAAATAGACATATATGCATGCACACACAATCCATCCAATAATTGTGTACAAGAGAAAACAACAGTTAAAACATCTACTTCATTTCATTTTCTCCCATAAAATAAGCTCTGACATGACATTTTTTTCTATTGTCACTTATGTGCTTCTAACTATTTCATAAATTTTCTCTAAGTTTCCCTGCAATAGAAAATAAGTCTGAATAACTAGAATCCAAATTAACCATAAAAAATCTTTTTTACCTAGAAATATATGTTGATATTTTATTTTTAATTTCTTTAAAATAAATATCTGAACACTTTAAAATGATCACTCTGTTTTTAAAATACTACTGTCCAATGTACTTGGCTACCTGAGAACACTCTACAAACCTGTAATAGACATGAGTGGAGCAATGTATCTGCCAGTGATTTTATTATAGTTTAACTATTCAGAATACCAAATAGTAGAAGAACCAAATTTCATGTATATTTCAGTAACTATAGAACTATGATCATTTCTTACCGATACAACTGCAGTGACATTTGCTGGCTCTCCTATCCTTTCGATGACAAGACGAATAACTGTTGTACTTGTTTCATTAACAACAAATTCTGTTTGTCCAGCAAATCTCACTTCTGTTTCACCAAACACAAAGGGCACAAGTAAAGCTGAAAGAAGATTTACTAATAAAGATGCAGAGGGCATCCCTAGAAGAAAAAACATTTTTTTTT